GGATGGAAAACCATATACCAAGCAATGGTACTAAGAAAAGAGCAGGTGTAGCAATCCACTTCATTTTGATCAAAGGAACAATGAATCAAGAAGATATTACAATCATGAACATATATTCACCAAACTCTGGTGCACCCAACTTCATATTTTTTTAAACAGGGGAGAGTGAGAACATAGTCCCCCCACCACAAATTATGCAGTAGAGTTTCCCACATTTGGGAAAATTGCAGGGGTCAGCACATCCGGAGTGCAATTGGAAATCACCCTGGGAAAACCACCTTCTGATCATGGTATCTCCCCTGCCAGGTTAAGTGTGTAAAATACATTTTTATTATCAACATTTTAAATAAATTGTAAATAGTAAACTTAAAAGTTTTGTTTTTAATTTTTAAAGTTCCCATGCAAGTATATATTGTATGTTGAACATATATAATTAATACAAAACCAAGAAAATTTTAGTATTTATTTTTAAAAATTATGTGTATGTGTTTACATGAGTGCAGGTGCCCACAGAGGCCAGAAGAGAGCATCAGATTCCCTGGAGCTACACCTCCATATTAGTTCTTTATGATAGCTGAAACAACTTTACCACAAATGTACTCATTTAAAACAATATGCATTTATTTCTGTAGTTCTGAAGGGTGAGAGTCTGAAGTCAGTTCCACTAGGGTAAAGTTGAGATTCTCCCAGGCATCTCAAACTCTAAAACTGAACCATAGGGCTGCTGATGTAGCTCAGTGGTAGAGTACCTGCCTACCAAATACCAGGCTCAGGTTAAAACTCCAGCACTACAAAAATTAAGCACATAGACAAACAAAACGGAAATACAATGACCTTCCTATCCATGGGGTTTGAATCTGGAGGCTGTGCATCAATGGTGCATTGCTCAGTCTTCTGTTACTTAAACAAAATCCCAGAGAAAATGAATTTAAAGCAGGAAAGATTATTTTGACTCATGGTTTCAGCCATGATAACTTGACTGCTTGACTGCTGTTCCTTCATAGACCTAGCTCACCCACACACATAGAGAGAGAGAGAGAGAGAGAGAGAGAGAGAGAGAGAGAGAGACACTTAACCCCTAAATTTTACCTCCTAAAGTTTCTACCACTTTCTGGTAGCCCATTAAGCTATGAATTATTCAGTAGATCAATCTGTTCATGAGGTACGAAGCCTCAAGACCCAATCACCTCTAAAGGCATCTCCTTGAGCACTGCTGCACAGGGAACACTTCATAACTAAATCATTGCATGCAGATTCAACCAGTCATGGACAGAAAAGTTGGTTTTGGTTAAAGTTGTCTTAACTGGATGTGGGTTTTTCCCTTGTCATTCTTCCCTAAAGAATCCAGTGATAATCACTATTTACAGAGTATTTATAATTGCTATGTATTAGAAGTCATCTTAAGAGACCATAACTAAGTTATATGCAAGTATTACCACATTTCATAAAAGGTACTTGAGGACTTGAAGACTTTGGTATCTGAGGGGGTCTTGGAACCAATCCCCTACAGATAACAAGGGACAACTTTATGTTTTTCTATCACTTATTTTTAAGTTTTTTATTGATAAATCAGTTCCTCACATTAGCCCATAAAAACTATAGTGCATGAAATTTGTAAAAATTCAATTAAAAACAACTGTATTTTAGTGTTTTAATGAAATTACTCACATGGACAGAGACTTCACAAAAGTATTTGCTTACAGTTTCATCTCTCTTAAGGGAAGCACTGGATTCATGCACGCTTTTGTATCACTCTTCAGTTGTGACCTAAATTTAAAAAATATTATTTGACACATACTCAATATTTGATAAAACCTATTTTTAAAAATAACAAATACACGTGTAGAGGAAGAAGAACTAGTGAAGAAGGTGCCAGTGAGCAGAAACCCTGACCCATAATGTATACAGCAAAGTTTCCTAAGTTAATGGATGAATGACTGTATTTGTGACTCGGTTTGTCAAGTTGTATCATGCTGATTATTTACAATATGAAATCTGAGCTAATTTAGAAAATCTTATGCCCAAAACATTTAACACCATCTAAAATATCATATTCCAAACTATAATAATCTCATAATCCACTTAAATATAAAGTTTCTCTAAAAATAGCTACTTAAACAGGGTCATAAAGTCTGTGGGTACTTTGTTCTATAAAATCTCTGTTACTTAGGAACTATATATATTTTATGTGCTTTAGTGGTTTTCCTTTAAAAATTATCCCAATTTAAAATGGGATCATAAAGACAAGTAAAAATTGATGCCTAAATAATATTGTCTTGGGGCTGGAGTTATGGCTCAGTGATTAAGAGCGCAGGCTGCTCTTTCAGAGGACCCAGGTTTGGTTCCCAGCACCTTCATGGTGGCTAACTACTGTCTGCAACTCCAGTTCCAGGGGATCTGATGCCCTCTCCTGCCCTCCATGGGCATTGCATCACACAGGTGCACTTGCATACATGCAGGCAATACACTCATATACATAAAATAAAAATAATATTGTCTCCTTCACTAGGTTATTTTACTTTTATGGTTCACTGATAGTCTACTATAAATACATTCAGTGGATGGTTGTAACTGTTTTCTGTATGACCTTGTCTCTTCAATAGATTACGAACTCTATTTTTTATTATGAAGTAATAGGGTTTAAATGGACTCTTTCCACCACTTACTCCTTATTACTAGTTAAGACATAGTCTTAAGCATTGCCAAGTGTTGTTCACTGCAAAGTCATGGTCCCGCCAATATCAGGAATTTCAATATTACTGTTGTGGATTAATGTAAAATGTCCCCATAGACTCATGTATTTGAACACCTGGTTTCAAAATGGTGATGCTGTTTGGAAAGGTTGTGAATTTTTTAGGAGGCTGAGCCTTGCTGCAGAAAGTGAGTCATTAGGTGCAGGCCTTGAATTTATAGCTGACCCCATTTCCTACTTAACTCTGCTTCCTGACTATGGATGCAATGTGACCAGCTGCCTCCAGCTCCTGCTGCCTTCCTGCCATGAAGAACTGTATCCCCTTAAACTGTAAGCCAAAACAAACCTTCCTTAAGTTGGTCTTGTCAGTATATTTTATCACAGCAACAAGAAAACTAACGATTACAACTATAGTCTTTTAACCTTTTGGTTGTTAGCTTTAGCCTTTAACTATCCCTCCAGCCCTCAACTATAGTCTTTTAGGGTGCTCAATATACTCCCTCTCTCCCCAGAGTCTTCTAGTTGTGATTCCAGACTGCACATTTTCTTGCTCAGTTTTTAACTGTTCTCCTCTCTTTAGTAAAATGGGAGGAAAAGAAGAAGGTAAATTTGACAATGGTAAAGGTTCAGGAAGTTTTGGAAGTTAATATGGGCATGCATGTTGGGATGTGAGGAGCTGAAAGGGGAAAATTCATGTACTATAGAAATTTTCATTCTATCCATGATTAAATAGTATGTTCTGATCTAGCCTACTCAGAAACTTCATACTCTCCATCATTCTCT